TCAATGTCAGTTCCAAAGCAGTGGACCAATCAGAAGAATTTGGAGGCGGGGCAAGCGTTGCAAGCTTCTGTTTACAGTAGTAAGTTGGCATGACAACTGTTTTATTTGACGGCAACATGGAGGAGGAGGCGCTCATAGTGGCTGTGTCAGGATACCCTGAATTATATAACATTTCTTCAAGTGATTATCACAACTTATTATCAATTCTGCTGTTTGCCTATTTCTATTATTTCCATTATTGTCGTTATTGCATCATGTCTCAAAAGCGCATCTCGAGACCGTCGCGTTCTACTCTGCACTTTTTTTAAAACCATTCCGGAGCGCTGCGTCTCACGTTTTTAGACACAAAAGATGCATTCTGTGTGAATGGCCCCTTAGAGTTGATGAATCTCTAGAGCAGTGGTTCCCAACCCTGGTCCTTGAGGCACCCCAACACTGCACATTTTGCATGTCTCCTTTCTCTGACACTCCAGTTTCAGGTCTTGGAGTCTCTACTAATGAGATGATGACCTGAATCTGGTGTGTTTGATTAAGGAGACATGCCAAACGTGCAGTGTTGGGGTGCCTCCAGGACCAGGGTTGGGAACCACTGCTCTAGAGAACTTGAGGCGACATATATAGGAAAAGCTTATATTTTGCGCAGATGATTTCTGTCGTATATATGAATATCTATTCTTATCATTTGTAATTAGGCTATTTGTGCTTGTGTGGTTCATGGAGGGCGGCACACATCTTTTATCAGCAATCTTGACCATTGCACAACATTAAAAGGCGAGGGTGACAGGTTTGAACGTGTTTGGGGTCCAAACATCAAAGGTGCTGGAACCCAGGTTTAAAATTTTTTTTATTTTTTTTGTCAAATATTCATTTTTTCTGCCCTGTCTGCAGCATTACTGAGCCCAGACACTTCAAGTCCTAATTTAAATATCATATATGAATTCCATTATAATGCTGCCATAGTAATTTTTTGTGAGTATAAACAAAAGTTTGTTTCATTATACAGTTGCAGCTTATATATTTGTATTGTATGTCTTTGTTTTCTGTGATTCCAGAGATCATTATCATTAAAGCAGCACTATGTGACTTTTGGCGCTCTAGCGGTTAATAAACAGAACTGCACACATCCCGCGGAAGAACATTCCAACCGGAGCTACTTCTCTAAGTTTATGTCTATGGCGATTCACGCAGGTATGTGTTACTCCGCAGCGGTGACGACCCGACCAGTCTACAATAGTCCAAATATAAGTACTTATTATAAGTGAAGTTTG